ATCTTACGATTCTCGTTAGGCACATATTCCTTCTTCTTATTTTTTAAGCTACCCGGTTAACTGGGCACTCCAACCGCCCGGTTTACCTGTAGATTAATCTACTTGATAACTTCCCCGTATCTAATGCATTTCATGTCTGGAGCTAGCTGAACCGGTCGGTTAATTGCCCGGTTGGAGCTAGCTCGATCGGTCGGTTAAGTGAGCGGTTAACCTAGCTGATAACCTCCCTGTGTTTAATATATTTGCTACCACAAATTAGCTTAACCGGTCCGTTAAGTGGGCGGTTGGAGCTAGGTCAGATAGAACTAGCTCGATCGGTCGGTTAAGCGGTCGGTTAACATAGCTTATAACCTCCCCAACTGCCCAAAAGTAGGTTGAACCGCCAGATCCTAGGTTAAACTTCTTAAGGTGGATCTACCTTAACCGGGTCGAAAACCGTGTTATCTAGCTCCAACCGCCAAATTCTAACTCCATTTGTTTTCTTTGGGTAGGTTGGAGCTAGATAACTAGGTAACAAGGTACATTTAGCTAGAACCATCGAGTGAATAACCGCCCGGTTACATCTGTGTTGGAACTAGATCCACTTCCTAGAGAATTTTTGCTTGGGTTTGGTAGAGAAAACATTTTCCTACAAAATGAAGCGTTCGACAGCTCTGAGAGTTTTTTATAACTGATTTGGAACGACTTTGCTGAATGCCCTAATATTGATTATTAATCGATGCATGCTCAATTGGGTTATTTTTTGATTCAAAACGGGATATAAAGCATGATTCCGTACTGTAAAAGTAGGCCGAACTCAAGTAACCCATACCCAATAATATCGCGAAAACCCAATATATTGGACGACCAATAATTATTGGTCCCAATAGAATGAGTGGCCAATATTATTGGTACCCAATATATTGTATTGGTGCATGCCTAATAACACCCAAAAGCTTCGTTTCCATATCTTTAATAACTGGCCCCATCTGTCTGGATATTGTGACCAACTCACTTTGTAGAGAATTTCAAGGGCTATCCAATCGTGTGTTTTTAAACAATACAACATTTTTCATTCTGGCAGAAAACGACTAATGGAGTATTCAAAGCACTAAGACAGGTGAAACTCATTATATCGGCCAAGTATTTCAACTATTGATCCATGTGGACATATTTCTAAAAGTCTTATTTATAGACCATTTCGAAGCTCGTGAAATTCTCTATCGGGTGATAAACTCACGCTTGCGGAAAATTGCGGAAAAGATTGAAACTTTTTGTGAGCGTTTCGAGAAAAAAAACGAAAATATGAGTCCTAGTATCTACATTTAATGTAGATTTAACATTTTGTCGTTGAAGACAATCAATGTGAAAACGGTCACTCTTTAGCTGTTTCGTTATTGAGTTTACTACAAATCAATTGTACGTTGGTATTTAATGTCGTTAATTGTTGCTCCATGTGTTCCATTTTCGATTCTAAATGAGCAATTTGTTGTCGAACGTTATCTGTTCGTTTACTCGTGGTCTTTTGTACTTGAAATAATTCGGCTATTGTAGTTGTACTATCAATCAGTTTTCGTTGTTCATCTCGAAGACGTCTGATCGCATCGATTGATTTGATTAGTTTTCTGTGTGTATTGAAATATTTGATACTACCTGTGCCTTTGTGCCGATGTTTTAATGTCCATAATATGAGTGTGTATTTAATAATGTTCGATGCTTCATATTTTATTTAAGACTTGTATTCAAAGCACATCAATTAGAAGAAATGTAAATTTTACTATCCCCCACTTTCGACCTTTACTCAGCGGGAACGTAATTTATTGAAATTATTTGATACGTTGGATTTACCAAAGAAGCAATGATATTTTTGACAGATTTTGTCCTTAAATTACTTTATTCTATTTCTTAGTGGCGTATCCAAGGGGGTGCGTGGGGGTGCTGACCAGCCCCACCGGAGCTTTGAGCACCCCTATCGAGACATTTTTACAAATGAGCCTTTTCTCAGTGGAAGGCAAAGAGTGGCGTATCCAAGGGGGTGCGTGGAATTGCTGAGCACCCCCGCCGACGTTTTCCTGGTTACGCCACTACTATTTCTGATTAACAAAACCAACGGCTGCAATGTTAAGGATAAAACAAAACAGATACAGACTTGTAACCATTCGATAGCCATTCTCAATCCAACGCCAGTCACTTTTGATAGGGATTATTCGTATCTTAGCTGTTGGACATACTTGATTTACGGTCTCTTGTTTAGCCAGTTCAGTATTGAGCACAAAAATATGAACATATTTTTCAGGACGACTAAAGTCTAGTTTTTGTACAATAATCGCTGCTAACAAGGCTATTGTGACTATGCCAGTTAAGCGTACAAATATCGATACCGCTAAGATGGAAGCAATGAATAATCTTATAGGTTCCATAAAAGAATTGCAATGTAATTCTTACCTCGTCCCGCATACGTGGTCGGCATGATGTCTCCATAACCTATATTATTTTAGAAATTGAATTTTACAACGGCTACATCAGACTAAGTTGATAGACAAACACATGAAAAGAAAGTATATGCCTCAATTGGGACTTGAACCCAGGACCCTCTGGTAACAGGCCAGAAGCTGTAACCACTGAGCTACCGATGCACACTCTAACTTACATTGTCGTTTCACATGAATGACTTTTAACTATCAGAGTTTCAAATACTGACAGATATATAGCGGTTGTATAGCAGTCTTTTTGTAGGATGTAAGAAAAGAAGGAGAACAGTGGTGCTTAGAATGAAATTTCTGACGACTGTCCGTCATGTGAAAAATATGCAAAACGATGAAATGACAAGATGAAAAGACGAAAATGAAGGTAAAATTACATGAAATTACAAGGTGATGGTGTACTGGTCTCATAGATTTTTTTAATTGTATCTATCAGTCTTGTACCACCATTTGCATGTGAACCATCAATAATCGACGGACTTGATATTCGCTGGCAATAAGAGTTTACGGCATTTGGTAAATACAAGTTAATCAGTTCATCTTTTTTTATTTCAAATATCCCTGTTTTATTCGTCATATGCACTAGTCG